TCTTCCTGAGCACCGGAAGAAATGACAGCCCCTATCAAGAAATGAACAACATTCGGGTGAGAGGTTTGGGTCAAAAGACCAAACGCTCATTATTTCGGACGCGCCCGTCATGCGCATCAGCGCGAGCATTGATTTGCGAAAAGTTTGCATAACTTCGAACTGGCCGACAGCCGTTTCTTGTGCAGAAATTGTTCCACGCCTTTTCGGCATCGATCTCAAAAGCTGAAAGCACCGCGGAGACTCACCAGAATTCGTTTTAAGGTTTTCCAGGACAGGACACTCCTGTGAGTTTTGGGTGGATTTGTTTTGTATGGGCAGCACAACACTCTTGAAGATCGACGGGCTCAGAGTGTTATGATGTCATTAGAAAACCAAAAACGTGTTTATTGGACAGATCCCTTGCGGCCCTTTCTTTTGTAGAACTGGGTGGCCATATCATGCAAGAACACACCGAGACTTTCAGCGTTCGAGATTGTTTTTGTTTAAGACAGCACCGCACCACCCGTTACTAGATTTACGGCCGTGAATGTGCCGAGGATAGGCTTTCCTAAACAGGAATGCAAGCGCCGAGGCATGTACCTGAGCATTTCTGCGTGGACATCAAGGGAGGTGTCATGTCTTTTGTGCGCAATTGCTTTTGCAACCCCATTTTTTTGGTCATGCTAAAATCTTGTCCCACATTTTCCACATTGTCTTGCATTGACATATAGTCACCCAGCACTCAGCAGGTGACAGGCACCTGTCCATAAGTTCGGGGAACTTTTGCAAGAAGATATTATGCTGCTTTCAAAGCACGTGAAGCACCGACCGGGCCCAAAAAGAAACTCCAAACCACAACCCACCATAGAATAACTTGTCCAATGCACTAAATGTTGATTGCGCAACAATTGTCACGTACAGATACATTTTCAAAACAAACAAAAATGTCGCCACACGGCTTTTTCCAGCGAAAGCCTCACCAGAACTTTAAAACGATGTGTATACATATATACATATATACATATATACATATATATATATGTATTGACATGTTAGCCTGACTGGCGTGCCTATCCGTGAGCACCCACATGATCCCAGGTAAGCTACATTGAGCTCTTTGAGCATCTTGAACTTGAGAACATTGAAAGCCAACCTTGCCTACGAATCTTTCTTTACATGCGCTTTCAGGACATAGCAATAGCCTACAGTATAGACACTGCATCTGTCGTTTCGAGAAGATTGGTTGCTCCTTTGGCCTCGATGCCTAAACCCTTAACCTTTCCAATTCAGGGATCTTTAAGTTTTCATCCTAAGCTGGAAACTTCAAACCCTGGGCATTGAACAGCTTTAATCCAGGTAATCTCCGTCATTGAACCCTAAACCCCAAACCCTAAACCCTAAACCCTAAACCCAAAACCCCAAACCCTAAACCCAAAACCCTAAACCCTAAACCCAAAACCCTTTAATCCAGGTAACCTCCGTGATGGATGCTTATCACCTACGGCCCTCGAACACGACTCTGGCGGCCTCCATGAGGCCCTACATGCAATGAGCTGTTAGACTGTAACAGTTTAGGGTTTAGGGTTCATCTAAGGATGGGTGGGGTTTCCAATTGTTTACAAACTGACGTTTCCGAGTGTTGCTTTGACAACATGCTCGCAATGGATCATTGTACATGTCTTCCCAGTTTTTGTCGAGCCGTTCGCATCTGCAGGGCATCAGTCGTTCAACGCAAATACGTAAGGTTGAGGCGGTTGAGGCTGGCTTCAAGTTCCCGTGGAAAGCGCCTATAAGTACCATGTCATGGCCACACACCGAAACTTTGGCTCGCCCGCCTTGCTTGCGGACCATGCCGCGAAGGGGTGGCATCTTGCAAGCCGCAAGTAATATGAGCCATAGTCTGAGCCCCTTAAAGGGGGTTGTATAGGGGATTATATAGGGGGCTACCGTAGGGGATATTAAGGGGATACCAGGAGTTTAGACCATGGCTCATGTCATCATACTCGCTTTTGTGAAGATCAAATTTCCTTCGTAGACCCTACAACATTCCCCACTGTCGATACTAGAAATCCTGCATGGCCCTAGTATATAGATAAGATTACAACTTCCAAGATACAAGATACATTGGGTCATGCAGGATTTTAATATCCATCGCATCACAAGATTTCACCTATCGTATCGAGAAGCTGCCCTTTGAGCAATAGTGTCATTTTTCACTTTTTGCATCGATGGTTCTGGGTGTTGCCAGTGGTACTGCATTTGTGTAGGGGTATATCAAAATGACCACTACATTATCCCAATGACAGAGCTTTTCAGATGTCTCTACATTGTTTCTCGGGTACTGCCATGTCGTGGACCCACTTGAAGCATATCTATGTCTGCAGGTGCTACCTAGATGCATCCTCCCCCAAACTAACATGTCCCTAAACCCTAAAACCCTAAACCCCATCCTCCCCCAAACCCTAAACCCTAAACCCTAAGCCCTAAACCCTAAACCCTGAACCGCGGGCATTTTAATCCACATACTAACAAAGATCCCAGAGTCTCCTTACAGTCCCTCTTCATCCCGAAAGTTGCTTAGGGCCCCTTCTTGGGTTGAGGTTTCAGGGGGTTTAGGGGTTAGGGGTTTAGGGTTCAAGGGTTTAGGGGTTTAGGGTTTAGGGCTTAGCGTGAGCAACTCCTACATGTAACCCTGGATGCCTTCTTTCAACTGGCGGTAGTCTTCGCATGGCCCGTTTTGGCCTAACAAATGGGCTTTTCTAGAAACTGGAGTCAACTGGAGTCTGCCCTACAGCCTCCAATACTGTGATCCCTAAAATAGTATACGGATGTATAAGGGACTACAAGAAAGGGTCCTCTGATTTGTGGAAACCTTCATAATACTGTTTTTGGTTTGTCCTTGCAAGGTCCAACCCTGGCGCCTAAGCCCTTGCCACTACAAGTGAAATTCTAAGCCTTCCATCCTAGGTCTGTAGCCCAAATCCAGAGCCCTAAGCAGGAATACGGTTTAGGGTTTAGGGTTGAGGGCAGGCCTACGTTCTTCAGCGGTAATTCTTAATGAAAGCTACAGGCCGTGTCTTACATTGAAGGTTCTTGAGCTCTGTCACTGTGCTTTTGGCAGGTTATGTTTTGCAAGGCTCTGCTGACCCTGCGTCTGTGGATTCAGGGCGTTGGCTTCTCATCTTACGTTTGGTTAGCTGGGAATGAAGGACTGGAAAAGAAAATGGAAACTACAGGTAGGGATTGTATACGGGTTATATAGGGGCATATGTAGGGATTATAGGGTATATATTGTGGCTGTATAGGAATAATGGAAAAGAAAATGGAAACTACTATAACGGGTTGCATAGGGGGCTAGTAAAGGATTCATTCCTTCATTCCCGGCCAACCAAAGGCAAGTCATGGGATTTGGATCCACACTCGGAAGGGTTTTGGGTCTAGGGTTTACAGGCTTTGAAAATATTTGTTGATTTCTATTACCTCTAATCCCTATACAATCCTTATAAATGGGGCTCTAGGAGCTTGTAAAATGACGTGCAACCTGGGGTTTAGGGTTTATGGTTTAGGGTGTAGGGGTTCAGGGTTTACAGATTTAGGGTTTAGGGGTTTAAGGGTTTATGGTTCAGGGTGTATCTTGGTTTTGCTTTTTCTAGGTATTGGAGTGGGAAGATTCTGCTGGTCCAATTTTTTCATTTACACTTGGAAGGACCCCCAAAAAGGGGAAACCCCTGTATACTTCTTGGGATGAAGGCTTTAGTACGTACCTGCAGACAGGATGACAAGCTCAAAGTGCACAACCCTTTGAAGCCTGCAACATGCCACCTACTGCGGCCTCCCATTCCCTACATGAGGTCAACAAAATTGTTTACAGTAGAATTTACAGTAGATTATCCTAGGGCCCCTAATTCCTTTTCTGGGTTCTATGAGAACCTATATAGTCTACTGTAAATTCTACTGGAGCTTTTTCCCTTGAAAGGGAGATGGGGGGTTGCAAGGCTGCTAAAGGAGGGGTTTAGGGTTTAGGGTTGCCAATGCTTGGTCACAGCTTGACTCTGAGTCTTTGGAGTTTGAAGGCCAAGTCCGTCCGCTCATCATGAGCGCCAAAGGCAAGCTAGCATGAAGGTCCGAATCGAGATAACAGGCAGACCAAGCGAAAACGCAACTGGGTACCCGCCAATGCAACAAACAATGCTTGATGGAGCTGTCTAGGGGTAGTTCAACCAAGAGGCGAGCCTTCTACTGAGTTCTATCTGCGGTCCTTTGCAGAATTCAGAAGCAACCGATCCTTGGTTCTTCTGTAGTCTCCTTAGACAGTGTTTTCATCGAAAAATCTTTGGGGATTGCGGTCTTGTTCTCATGAGTGCTAGAAAAGGCCCAGGGTGCAGAGCTGTTCAGCCGCATAAGAGATGTCCCCAGGAAGCAAATATTATTATCTCTGTTACTATTTTGTGTTCATCATGCATTTTTTATACAGAAATGGAAAATTATGTGGAAACTGGACGTATGTAGGGGCCTATAGGGACAATTACCCATTCTGGAACCTTGTTTCCCTTGAGAACTGCATGTTGCTGGATTCCACGAGCAGACCTGGCCAAGCCTCTCAAAATGCCATAAGGCCCGGTGCATCCACATACTCGATCTTTTCGCGTAAGACTGCCAAATCTTGGATTTTGCATGTTCCCGACCTGCAAGTAGCTTTTTTTGTTATGAGAGGCCCGTTACCCTTGCCTAGGAAGCCATGTAGTAGTTACCATCGGTTGGGGGCGCTGACATAAACTCACCATGCTACCTCCCAAGAAGAAGCCCACAGTTGCAAACCCTGTTTAGGGTTTAGGGATAATCCCCATTTCTATTTCATTTTCCATTGGCTTTTTCATTTGATTCTTCATGATTCTCCTTTATGGGAGCGTATATCCGTAAGCTATAAAATTCCAATATAGCCCTATCCAACTCCACGTTGGTGGCTGAGCTAAAGTTTGCGCCGAAAACAATGGACGAGAGATCTAACTGTCTCTTGCCAGGGGCGAGCTGGCACAAGCGTTAGCGGTGTTCCAGGACGGGTACACAGGGGTATGGTGGAATATTCAGAAAATCAGATGGAAAGGAAAACACACATGACACGGAAAACGGGATCAGGTAGGTGTTTAGAGGTTCCTAGGAGGTTTTTGAACGTTTCAGGGCGCCGGCCCGCATGGGTTCAGGGCTCAGGGCTGCATCTTGGGGCTAAACCCTAAACTCATAGGGGTTTAGGGTTTAGGGCAGAGCCACCAAGTAGCTGCCCCCCAACCAATAAGGTCTATACCCTCAAAAGCTTTTATGAGCCCCATGATCAAACCTACACCCTAAAATGTGTGGCTCCCTAAACTATTTGAGGTTTGGGGGTTTGGCTTTCCGAGCAGGGCTCTAATTCTGAAGGACTTAGGGTTTGGGGAACCAGTTTAGAGTTTGGGGGGCGGGGTTGGGAGGAGTTCGAAGTTGTGTTGGGACTTGCAGCCCTAAACCCCAAACCCTAAGCCTCAGCAGATTTGATCACATAAGCCGAACAGCAGCTTGTCATAGCCGGAACCCCTTAGTAGGGATTGTAATGGGGATCCTAATATTAAGGCCCTTAAGAGCAGGGTGTTTACACATCAGGGGTCGACATTATGTATTTTCTGGCTTCAATGGCCGCTGTTCTTCTTGGCAGGGCAATCTGACCTTTTCACAGCACCTGCCCTGCATGACGAGGAGATGCCCAAGAACTACGGCTTTGTGCCCAATGTTGCGGTCTCAGATTTCAAGCTCCGAAAGATGTCCTAAGGGTCTACGTAGGTATATCGTGCATGTTTTAGGCCCGAAACGGTTCTCACAGAGCTGCTATGGCAAGGGGCGCAAGTGCATACTAGATATCTACATGGACCTGCCGCGACTCAGGATACTTTCTTGCGCGCGGACATAGGGCCATACTATACTTTGAATTGATAGCCGGAGCGTTGCTTGAAGACCACATCTAGGCAGGGAAAAACCCAAGTTATACTCAGCTCATGTCCTTTTTTATAGTTTCTTATAGTAACAGCGTCTCCTAATATGCCTACCTAGGACCACATGCTTGTCCATCTTTGGACTTCCTGGCGTAACTGCGGAGGAGGTGTTTGTCAGTCCTAGGAGTTTTTTCGCAGCAGAGATCTTCCGATCTTCAGTTCAGAGGCAATGGCCTTCTTGATGCTGAGCGTGATGGACTGGAAAAGAAAAGGGCAACTACAACTTTAACATTGGGATCACATGGAGACGACGGGAGGGATCCATTCCCCCTTTTCGTACAAGAACCAACAGGCCAGCAAGGGAAGTAATGGGGACGCCTCTGGGTACTAGTAGGGAGACAGCGCGTCCCCCACCGATTTCACACCCCACCCTATCCCACCCTTAGTATTCCCCTTAAGCTGAGACCTTACATTTTCAGGGGCACCTGATATTCGACTTAATTAGGAGACGGCGAATTATTCGTTACGGAAGCCCAGGTATGGACCCACAGCAGCTCTGATTTCCTTCTCCTAAACCCTGTAAAACCTGGACCATGGCGGGGAAACCTTGACTCATCCTTATCGATATGAAAGCTTGACTCCTATAACCCCAAACCATACAAATCCTAAACAACGTATCCTAAACCCTAAACCCTAAAGTCCGTGAGGTTGTAAAACACCCTAACAGGCCCTACACCGTGACCCTAAGCCTACTTTCTTCAGAGGCTTACCTTCGTGGAAGTCCCTAACATGCTGTCTACAGAGGGCTACGGGCTTAAAATTATCATACATCGCAGTCCCTTCATACTCCCCAATAAAATCGTAGTCTGCATTCCCTCAGCCCTGAACCCCAAAAAATAGTAGCTTCCGTGATCTTTTCCATTCCTTCATCCCCAACCTCTGGTAGCTTATGCCCCATTTAGGATTCAGGGTTAAGGGTCTGGGGTTTAGGATTTAGGGTTTAGGGTTTAGGGTTTAGGGTGAAAGCATGAGGCCTACGTGCATGGGATTCTCATCTCCATGTGCCACTGCTTTGGCAAGTCGGAATCGGCTCTCCAGGCAAGGCGGAGACACACCCCTAAGCCCTAAACCGCTCAGGGCTCCCAAGGGAGCCTTTAGAGCTTAGGGATTGCACGAGGGTTCCATAAGAGTCAGCTGTAGGGGGATCATATATCATTTATAATATGGGTGGTTGTCAAAATTATGGTCCCTTCTTGGATCCCTATTATCATACGGCATCTAATATTTAGCGCACCCAAAAAGGGACCATAATTTCGACAACCACCTATATAGGGGTTCTAAAGCCCTAAACCTTATCTGGGCCTTAGCTGAACGGTATTCTTTTGGAACCTAAACCCTAAATCCTAAAACCTAAACCCTAAAATCTTAGCGTAGGCTCAACCGGACGTTGTGTTTGAGGGTAGAGGTTGCAAGGTTAGTATGCCGTTTAAGCCTACATAAATCTAAGGGGGTTCCCATAAATTAAGGAAGGTTTAGGGTTTAGGGTTTAGGGCTTAGGTTTAGGAGTCAGGGCTTAGGGCGTAGGGTTTGGGGCCTGGGATTTAGGGTAGCGCGTTTGAAAGCAGGCTCCTCATCCTACCATTTCTAGATTCCAACAAGAACGACAAGGATCTTCAGGGTGAGGAAGTCGCAAAGATGCACTTGTACCGCAACCCTGACCCCATAAAGGATCCACAAAATGGAACCCCCCCCCCAAAAAAATACACGAAGTGTCCCCAACGTAGTGATGGGGGTCATTTTGGGGGCTTCGATTTTTTTGATCGTTTAGCGGGTCTGGGAATGTCGAAGCATTAACAATTACCAAGATTCTCCTTTTAATCCTTATTTGACCATACACTGATTTGCCTCCACACTCGATGTTGATCATTCACTCTTTCCCTCAGTGTCCAAGTACCGCTTCAGGTCCCAATAGCTACAACCTTAAGGGGTTTTGGGTACCTAGACCCTAAACCCTAAACCCATCTAAACCCTGAATACTTGGACCATGAGAAACAGAGCCCTTAACTCTAACCCTAAACTGGGCAAATTATCACGACCTCACCTGTCATCCAACCTTACTGCACATGGTGGTTTGAATGCAAATTTGTTTCAAATGGGCTCCGAAACATCCATGGCGTCCTAAATCCTAGATGCCAAACCTTACACCTGAAACCCTAAACCCCAAACCCCTAGTGCCCAAACCCTAAACCCAAATCCCTAAACCCTAAACCCCACACCCTAAATCCCAAACCTCAAATCCCAAAGCCTATGGACCCTCTTGGCTGAGTCCGGGCCAGGTCTACGAAAGCATGCTGTCATGCGGCTGGGTTGCTGTTAAGGAACTTAATTTAAGTTAGCATAATAAGTATGAGAATGTATAGGGTTTAGGGTCCCCAAAATGAGGAAACTCTACTTTTCTATATATATACATATACACATATACACACACACACATATATATATATATACCCATATTATGGCATGGGTTTAGGGTTACAAAAATGAGGAAGCAGGAACCCCATGATTTACTATATACCCATAGTAGCAGCCACTTAAACTTAAGTTCCTTAACATCAGCCCAGGCGGCTGCAGACCGGATGCCCGAACCTACGAATGCGCGAGCCTGGGTGGCTCCAGTGGTTAAAAGGTTACAGGGATGTTCCGGGGGCTAGTAGGGCTAGTATACGTAGGTATATGGGGGAGGGGTTCTATAGGCATATAGATGAAGATGTACATATATATGTATATATATATATGTACGTATACACACATCTATTTTTATGTATAGACACGAAATACATGCTTTAAAGTAGTATGTGGATGTATATATATATTCATATATATGCATATCGCATGTTGAAGATACTGTTTAGTTCCTTGGTGATTTTGAGAACCCAACTCAGAAAGAAATATGGCTTCTCGTTTTAGTTTATCCATATACGCAGACAGGTAGGGACTGGGAGAGTGGGAGTTATATGCTGTAGGGACCATGGTAGGGGAATCTATATGGGCTGCTCTATGCATAAGATCCTGCATTCTCCGCTTATCGCCGCTAGGGTGTGGGGTCTCCAAATAGGGTATCCCTCAGCTAGGGGCTTAAACCCTAAACCCTAAATAATGCAGATTGTAGGATCCTTTGAGGGTTTACTGACAGGTCCAAAAGAGTGAAAGGGTGGGACGGTCTGGGCGTCTGAATTGCTGGGGCTCGGGGATTAATCAGCTCCTTTCTCTCAAGTGCTGTGTGCTGGGATGTGTACAGGTCGGTGCTTGTAATTGTTGTTACTTTTGGATTTCGGATCCCGCTCATATTCCGAAATCTGACCTGCTCATATAATATTCCAAGAGTGTTGACAGTTAGAGGGATGGGATCGTGGTTGTAATCGCTTTGCGATCCTCATGTTCCGCGAACTGTCATGAGCCGCCAGGGCTTGTGGGGGTTTGTACGTTGAGGTTTCAAAAAACGAGAAGTAGTCCCTGAAGATAAATCGCAGATAGGGAGACGTGAAACTTCTGTCAGTTCATGCTAAGCCCGGTTTGCATCTTCAACCGAAATCCCTAGATTCGCCAAAACCTCAACGGTAGTACAAGGCTCTTTTCGTGCATTAACAGAAACGATGGCCATCAGACCTTAGAAGCTCTGAACGCCTTGATCTCAAACCACGTGGCTTAGCAAATTCCAAGGTCTGGTCCGCTGCTGCTTCGGCATCGGAAGATTTTTGCAGGACTGCTCAATAGCTTGGTGGTCAGCTACAAAGTGACCGCAATGGTTGACCGCCACCGCCCCCGCCATTGCCGTCGTCGCCACTGCCACGGCAACGGCAGCACCCCCCTCACGGCTGCCGTCGCTGCCATCACCACCCCACCTTCCTCATCTGCTCTTCTCACTGACTACTGCTGCTAATGCTGCTGCCAATGCTGCTGCTGTAGTAGAAGTTGAGGTAGGCATTTCCAAGGACAGCCAAAAACATTACTATTTAAAGCTTGTGCTGCTGAGAGGCTGTTTCCCTCGTGGATGAAGCCCTGGGTCTCCAGGAGCTGGAAGGACCTGTGAATTTTGGACTTGGGCTCCGGGTTTCAGAGCCCAAAAGGGTCCATGAAGATGCACATGAAACGGTTGGGCCCCAAAGTAGCTATGGGGGAATTCCTTTGGGCCTGAATATATGTGAGATATCTACACAGACTCTGTGAGGAAGGAGGCTATGGGGTTGCCAGCAAGCAGGTGCCGTGAATACATTATGGTGGTAAATAGTGGTGCACATGTACAGATACATGTCTATATATATATATATACACATATAGGTATTTTGGGATGGTAAAGGATTGTCGCAAGGATGATGGGATCCTCAAGGATTTCTAGGGATGTCCTGTAAATGTTTTTAGGGGGTGCTTCTTATGAACTAGACTCTAAACCCTACTGGAGGGTCAGGGGGACTTCGTCAGATAACCTCTGAAATCCATAGATTTACCGTAGCCATCACAATCATTCAGCCACTTACAGAGGCCCCCTGACACTGAAACTTGAAACCCTAAACCCTAAACAAGGTTGCCTGCAATGGCCTTTCGCACCATAGCCTGGCGAAATTCTGATTGGAAAAAGGGTTTGGCAGGGTTTGGGTTATATATCGGGATAGTAATATGAACCATACTCTGAACTCCTCAAAGGGGTTATAGGGGGGGTTATATAGGGGACTATACAGGGAGGATACTATAGGGGTCATTAAGGGGGATGCTAGGAATTTAGACTATGGCTCATAGAGGGTCTATGTGGGGATCACATTGGGGTACGCAGAGTTAGGGGACAGCACCGCACGAATAGACAGCCAACTGGAAAAATGACAAGGGCAATGACATGAAAACTGGTCATTTTTTCTAGTGGTTGTGGTGTCTTTCAGGCTGACGCTAACTCATGAGAGGATCTTGGCAACCTCAATCCCCAAAAGAGGAATCTATGACTGCATTACACTATAATAGAGTCCTCGTTTCGGGGCTTGGGTGGCCCAAATCCCTTGCTTACTACCCTGAACCCTACGCGCACATGGCCTTTCGACTTTGTCGGCGGGGGTCATGGCTTACGGACGTTGCTCACAAGCATCTGAAGTGTATCGGTTCATAGCAATTTCCAGGCTGTCATATGCTTTGTGGCAACATGTGTGCAGACGTCTTTCACTTTGAGGTGAGGTTCGTGTAGTTTAGGTGCGGACGAAGGCATGGAGCTCGATACTCAACAGCCATTGAAGCCACAAAAGAACCCCCACCCCTACTCGCAAGGGTCATTCTTCATCCTGGAACTGTGAGTACAGATGAGCCTTGGAAGATGGTATATTACGGTATAGTATGGTATATTATAGTATATTATAGTATTCCTAGTATATCATGGGTGTATTGTGGTACATTTGACGTAGCCTTTGTGATGCCACTGGTGTGAGGACGAACACAAACAACACGTCGGATCTTCATCGACTGTTGCGTGGTCGAGGCGCAGTGCATGAAGTAGTCCCCTCCCCGTAATATTAAACCCCCCCACCCCCCGTAAT